GGGGGGGGGGGGGGGCGGGGGAGGGTGAGGGGTCATGGACGGCCGGAGCAAAATAACAGAATCGCCCGTGGAAGGGTGGAAGATTGTTGCAACGAAGCGCATCGATATCTGATTGGGTACAACATGGGCAAGAACAACGTTTCTGGGACGCTGCTTTTTTTTTCCGCACTGTAGCACGTCCGTACCATGCTTTTGTGTCCGCCATTGACCTCGGACGGTAGATCACCCAAGTCGCATGCGGACGTGACGTAGATGACCGACCGGTTTGTGGTACTACTGCTGTAGGCCCTCATCATCGCTTGTTTTTCAGTCCAAAAGATTTCCGTCGACGGTCCCGTTCATCCGTCACTCTCGGTGTTGCTTCCATCTTCGAACCCTGCACCCTGTGCCTTGGAGTGATGTGCAATGAAACGGACGTACATTACCTTTGATGAAGACCCGGTAACGCTTGGATTGATTCATTGCTACTACTTTATTCCGGACTCTTTGTCTGTGGATAAGAGACGACTTCTTCATTGTGTTTTTGTAAGGAAAGAAAAAAATGAGAAACGAAGGCTAGGATAGGCAGAAAAGAAAGTAGAAAAACGAGCCCTTCTGGTCCGACTACACTGCTGTCGAGATAGCCCGGTGGGATCCCAGCCACATCGTTGAATATCTAGTTGCTCGTACCCGCCCGATATCTCCGATCGTTGTCGCCAGATGAGATAGCTCCCCATGCAAGCCTTGGCCACACAGACCGAAGGGAGACGCTGTTTTTTTTTGTCCCCTTTCCTGTGAGTCTCTCTGTTGCGGTGGTTTTGCCTTTATTCTGGGGGCGAGTGAGAGGGATAGAGCCACGCGACTTTCCCTCGCCGGCCGTGATTTTTGTGTGCCACACACGAGTGAAGTAAACGATCTTTCTTTGTGCTTGGGCATGGATAGTTCAATGAGAGAAAGATGTAAGCACATTTCGTGTGACTGCGCCCCAGATTCGAACTCATGTACGTTCCAAACGTTTCAAGGTTGCGAGGTTAACGGGTGAAGAACACCACACCAGTGGGTGGGGCGACCAAAGCTTGGTCGTATCAAATCAGATGGAAGCCCCTCGTGTGCATACACGTCGGACTTTGCAAGCGACACGTCGGAGATAGCTTCAACCATGTTCGTAAAGAGGGTGTCTGTCATTCTGATGCTGAAGGAACAGAGAAAAGTTGTCTGTCATCAACGCTGAGGTCATTGTGTTTCTTCAGATCGCATCGACCGAATCAACCGGCTGAGAAAAAAACAAAAATCGTGTGCATGTGAGAACGGCTTTGTGACGCCGTCGAAGACCTGATCAGTCACCCGAAAAAGATACTGGTATGTCACCACCACCACCACCACGTTTCTCTGTCATTCGCCATCGATATCGTACAATCACCTCGCAGACAAATGCACTCCTTAAAAGATGCCCCAATTCGTTGGCAATATAACACCCACACCCTTTGTCATGCGTTGTCTTGATGCGGCGTGATACCCTTGTGTCCTTCCCCGGTTCACCCCCCCCACCCCACCACACCCCCAAAACATTACTTCGAGAAACGTACTGGTCCACAACAACCCCATGCGATCTCACCAACAAGCAGTAAACATAAAGGGACTACAGACAGCCTTCAGCACCTTTGCTAGCTCGATGACGACCAGGGGCATATTCACCCCCCCGCCGTACCAACACAGGAGCCCATCTCTTTCACGAAGACTACAGACAGTCAAGAAGATGCTACTAACAACAGTCAAGTCATGTGCCACCGAAAAACAGAAACATATATTGGTACACTTGACAACGCCTGCCTGCTGCCCGCAGACTCTTTAAGCTATGTTACAGCAGTAACGACAGCGTCGGAGTGCACGTTCCCCGTCCCCGTTCAACAGAACCTATCGTCGCACTTGCTTCATTGGTTTGTGTCAAACACAACGTTCAACTTAGGAATACGATGAACACACGGTTCACGGCGATTATTAATCAAGCAGCCACAGCAACAACAAGAAGCAGCAACAGAGAGAGGCGCACAATCATCAACCATCACGGCCATACGCATGCTGTCCGCAACACTGCCGAGTCACAGTGCTCCTTGATGCGAGCAACCGTCAACACGGCCTCGTTCCAGGCTTCTCGGGTCTTGGTCACGACTTTCTTGAGGCCCTCCTCTTCGTACTCAGGGTCGACCAGCCGGTTCTCGAAGTCGATCATCTCGGCCACGACCTTCTCGATGTCTTGCCCCGTCTCGAACACGGCCTGCTCAGCCTCCTCCTGGTCCTCCTGAAGGACAAGAGGGACCAAACGCCGACAACACGCATGGAGGAGAGAGGCGCGGGTACATTAGAATATGCGTCAGTCACCAGGTGCAAATCATTTGACGATGTTTTCGTGTTTGTGTGTGGAACATCGATTGCCTTGTTGGTTTGGACGGGGCACGGTGAAAGGAAATGCGACGACGTTCGTTCGTTGTACGTAACAAGGTGCACACGCATGTTGGTCAGTACTGCTGGCACGGACAGCCAAGCAAGAAACCTACACTCACCAGAGCCGCCTGCTCGTGCGCCTCCGCGTCCGCAAGGAGCTCCTCGCACTTCGAAACGTCGGACATGGCCCGGTTGTACTCGTTGCGGGCTCGCTGCGCGTCCATCCTCTTGTTCGCCTCTGCTGTGCGGAACAGGTTGAACGCCGAGATCATCGCCGATACCCTCACCAGCTTTTCCTCGGCCAGGGCGAGTTCGCGCGCGTCGGTCGACGGCCTGATGTCGAGGCACGGGGTCAGAGTGCCTACCCTTTCCACAATTTCCCGGTACCTGGCTTCGGCCGAGAGGTGGAGCTCTTTCGCCCGGGCCCTGCCCGTCTCCTGGGCGCGCTTCGCGTCTTCGGCAGACAGCACCGCCATGACGTGGGGCGGCAAGAGGTCGTCGGAGGATGCCAAGGTCTGGAGAGACGAGCTGACGTAGTCGAGGTCGCCGGCGAAGTGCCACTCGAGCACGAGAAGATCTCTGTACCACTGCGCCCGAAGCCTGTTGACCTTCTTCAGGCACGCCTCGTGCTTTACCAGGAGTTTGGCCAGCTCGACGTCATCGTGCGGGGGGCAGTGGAGGAGCGATTCGCGCGAGAGGCCGTGGAGAAGGGCGTCCTTCTTAGCCTCGGCGGCGTCCGCCTGCGCCCGGGACTCGGCCAGCTTCCGCTGGACGTCGGGAGTGGTCGCACCCGCCTCTTGCACGACCTTGGCAATCTCGGCGGCGTTCGCCTTCTGCTCTTCGTGGAGTTCCGACAACCTCCGGCCGCGAGAAACAGCATCAAGCAGGTCGGAGGCGAGGATGGCCGCCCGTTTGGTAGCCTCGCGCAGCTCCCTCTCGGCGGCGGCGTCGAAGGCAGCGCGCATCGCCATCTCGTGGTCCTGTGCGTTCTTGAGGAGAACCTCCAGGTCTGATTCGTAGGAGGGCTTGCGGACGACCCGCACCTGCTGTTCCATAGCCTTGAGCGCGGCGGGCGTGAAGACGGTCGGGGCGAGGGTCGGTGAAGGAGCGCTGTACGTGTAGGTTGCAGACGTGACGCCGCTGCTGGACTCCTGAATTTCAAGAACCGCAGTGTTGGGAGCGGCGGAGCACAGCGGATGTTTGCGCGTCGTGAGGGATACAAGCTGCTATGCCATATGCATGTGCTCCATATTCTGGGTGACGTGTGTGTGCAGACAGAATGGCGCAGGTAGGTTCGTGTTCGCTGCAGGATGATCTGCTGCTGTGCCTCAGACAGAGAGAACAACAACGTACACCCTCCCTTCCCCCGTCCGTACTTCCACACGCGCTGTTGAGTTGGCGTTGTAGAATCTCTCAATAGCCCCCGCGGGCGGATCAAATGTACACCCAGCGGCAGCATTTTCGGTCAACAGGAGCAGGACATTACAAGAAAAATGACCGAATCACAGGGTGTCATTTCTACATGTAGTGCGTACGTACGTTCCCGGTGACCTTGTATGCGCAAGAAAAAACGGATTTGCGCACATACAACAGGTGTGGTTGTGTAGATATTGGCTACCCGCCGGTGTGAAGGCATGATGGACCCTACAAGATGGGAACATGATGCGCACGGACGATACAAACAGCAGCAGCTCGTGGCAGAGCTACAACGAACGACAGACTGCCTGTGTACCGAAAGCCGATGCAGAGAAAACGGTCCTCCTGAAGACGGAACCAAGATTACCGGTATGGTATGATTTCGGCAAAGCGAGGAGGCACAGAAGGTGAGATCGCAACATTCCGAATATCGCGCCACGCCGTATAGCCCTGTGCCGCAAGGACTTAGGGTTTGACACACTCCGCACACCGCTCTCTGCCCCAATGGGGAAAATATTCGCTCGCTTGCCGTGCTTTTGCTGCGATGCTGTGCGCCAACCGGTACCAAAATTGGATGCAGGTTCATGATCGTACATAGTTTGTCAAGTAATGTAATCTTCAAGTAAAGCCCCGCCTGGTTACACACCAGCAACACACACGGCCAACT